CTTACAGTGTAAGACCTCAAACATGAACATCCCTCACCCTTTTTATCTGCTCTAATTATTTCCCTGAACTCACATGCCTTGTCTGGTATATTCCAGGGATGTGAAAAATAACAGGCTTTCAGGCGTTTCAGGGAGCCTTAACCTCCCTCCAAATGTTACCCTTAGGTTCCTTAATTTTCTTGCTAGTTGTATGCATATTCACACAACAAGACTTTCAGGCTTTTATGTTTCTAAATTTTCTGCAGTCTTCAAGGGAACCCAACATGCTCGAATGCCAACTTGGCACAATTATATGAATCTGCAACCACATTATTCAGTCATCTGCAGAGCATTCCATCAAAGTCAACTGACAAATGTCCACCAAAATCATGCCCAAATAACTTCGAATATGTTATAGGGTCTCCTGTACGGTGCTTCTGTGTTGCACCACTGCTTGTTGCATTTCATTTTAAGAGTCTTGGATTCTCCTATTTTGAGACATATTTCTATCCATTCGAGGTCTTGAAATCAATCATTTTCAACTTGACCTCACCCATGAAAAAGGCTTAGCAACACTGAAGCGGATAAATGGAATGGAGTCTGTACACAGGAAGTTGGTGGTCTAGCAATGTTTAGTTCATTTTCTTTCTTTTCTTATTACATCCAAAGGACATTAATTAATTTTGCATAGTTAGTAGGGATAGACATTGAGAATTGCTGGAAAAGGATTGATTGAGACTCAGGAAAAGGTTTAAAATAATACTAATTGTTTTATTATAATGATAATGATAATAATAAAATGAGATTTATCTATTTTCAGGTTACTGGTCTTGGTATATGTGTGGAGGTGGTAAAGAATAAGATAGCACCTACTATGGAAAAGGCAGAGCTGGAGATTGAGTGTGGAGGTGGTAAAGAATAAGCTTGATTAGATAACAAAAAGTACTGTTTATATTGGTAACTTACAAAGCTACCTTAATACAGTTGCTACATTTCGACCATTAGTCGAGTCATTTGATTACATTTTGTGTGGGATTCTAAATACCAGTCCCAACAATCGAGATTATTAGCATAATTGTTTGTATTGCAATTGATTTTGGTTGATTGATTTTTGGACTGGAAATTCAGTTTCTTAAAAATCTTCGGAGCATGTAAATTTCTGAAATGTATGATTGAGAATAAGAGTTTTCCCTTTTTTCTAGAACTCTTTATACTTTTGGTTTGATGTTCTTTTAGTACTTATACTTAGCATTATCTTTGTTTTAGAAATTTAGCATAACACCTGTTGTTGTTCGTGTTGACTACATTCCTTCTCGTGTTGACTTACCTGCTTTACGCCATGGGAAATATGTTGAACTTGTTAATCTATTTCAATGCAAGGTAACTTTCTTCATTTATTTACTTGTTTGCTGCCAATTTGCATGCATATTCTTTCATTAAATGGGGTGAAATTCCACTTTATTCTTATTCGACATAAATTAATAGTCATTTTATTATATTATTTTCAGGGGGTAGAGTTGCAACTGAAACTTTTTCCAGTTGTTGGTGTTTATGGGTGGAGTAGTGAATTTTCTATTATTTCCAATGTGAGACCATGCACATGCTAATCATGAGGTGCGTGATCTTTGTCATTCAAAAGCTGTTTGTTGAAATTTATACTGGGGTGCAGGTGACTTTATCTTGAAATCTATACTCAAAACTATTTTTTTCCTTATTTTTCTTGTAAGTTTAGCCTTATTATTTTCTTCAATTATGTGTTGCCTGGAGAGTGTTATATGAATAATAATAAATCAACATTTTTTCCTTCTTTTTCTTGTATGAACAATACATAGTCATAGTTTGACTTAATTAGTTGCTTATTTTGTTTATTAGTTGCTTGTTTTCTAGCTTATTATACTCACTGATTGGTTTCTTGTTATGCTTAAATCTTAATAGCTATCATGGCAACCTTCAACAATAGTTTTGGACCGGCACCTTCTTGCAAAAGATATCATGTATGTGTTCTTGTGCTACTATTGTGGATTCGGGAACATCCTTGCTTACTGGTCCAACTATATGTATCTCACATGAAGCTTCTATTAGAACTCTTAATCTTAGGGATTTCAAGTTTTTCATATTTCTAGTATCTAATTAGTTTGTAAGTTTCCGTTACAACTTTTATTCATTTGTTTTATCTTTCTATGGAACGATTATTTGTATGACATTAAATTTTATGCAATGGATTGTATTTTTGTGTATGATATTTTATTTATTATGAGTCATTAAATGCAATTTTAATTTGAAAATTAGTAAATCTATAAATAATATTTTTTTTAAACATATAAAATTACGACACTTGAAAATGTGTGTCATCTTCATTTTTGACATGGCCTTTCTTGACAGGGGCTTTAATGATACGCAATGCGAGTCGTAAATCCGCATCGTAAGGTTACGACACGCAAATGCGTGTCGGCTTCCTTTATGATAGGGTCTTCCTTGATACGCATTACGTGTGGTAACTGTGCGTCGTAAATCACGTGTGGTAACTGCACGTCGTAAATGTGCGTCGTCTATAGACGACGCGCAAAAGCGTGTCGTGTCTCGTTATTACAGGGCCTTCCTTGACACGCATTTGTGCGTCGTGCATATTACGACATGCATTGCGCATCGTAAAAGGCTATTTTTCTAGTAGTGCTTTACGTCCATGCATGGCATCTAGGTGTCAAAATGCCAAAACAAGCTCTATATGGGGTTTAATGTGTAAAAGCTTGCCACTAGCTTGATAAAGCTCGGATCTTTGGGCTCAAAGGACCTTATATTGTCCAGATCTGAAGTCTCAACTCCAGGGCAAGCTCAACAACTCCATAACTCAAAAAAGGATAGGGAAAAGGCCCTAAACTCCCTAAAAAAGATCTAACCAAACAATGCGCAAGGTGGTAGCTTTTTACCTTCAAACATAAGCTATGAATAAATGAACACTGGATCCAAGAGCTCCCTCTCGTCCCAAGCCTATTGCTCCTTAATCTTCCTCTAAAAATGCACTAAAATATGCGATATTAGTCTCTGTCTCTCACACAAGGATATAGCTCGATTAGGGTTTCTCTCAGAGTGTTAAGATGATAAGGGAGGTGGAAATGAAGGCTTAAGGTGCTTTAAATAGGACACAAACCCTAAAAATTAGGGTTTTCTCACTCAGCACCTACTCATCGAGTTGGGGTCCACCAACTCGTCGAGTAGACTCTAAAAACCATGCGGCCATTAACTCGTCTGCTCGGCAAGTTGGGGCATCCAACTTGTCAAATTGCTCTGACATTATGAATGTGAATTAATTAAATATTATACCTAGGAGTCGGGATGTTACAATTACCCACCACTAGAATTAGACTTCGCCCTCGAAGTCATCCTCTGGAAACAACTCTAGGTACTGCTCTTGCATCTTGGACTTTGGCTCCTAAATCCACTCGGATCTCTTCCGATGTTCCTACTAGACCTGATGCAAGGGCACCTCTTTATTCCTTAGTACCATCACCTTCCTATCCGAGATCGCTATCGGCTTTCCAATGTAATTCAGACATTCATCAACCTGAATGTTCTCTAACTGTACCATTGCCATCTCATCGGCTACATAGTTCCTTAACTAGGACACATGGAAGGTGTTATCAATCTGGCTCAACTTTGAAGGCAGCTCCAACCGATAAGCTACCTTACCCACTCGAGCGATCACTCTGAAAGGACCAATGTATCTAGGGCCCAACTTGCCCTGCTTCCTGAATCAGATCACCCGTTTCCATGGAGATACCTTCTAGAGGACAAAATCTCTGACATGAAATTCTAACTCTGAATGTTGCCGGTCTGTGTAAATTTTCTAGTGATTCTGAGCTGTCAGTAACCTCTGTCTGACCTGATGGATCTGCTCTATCATGTTGAGCAGTATCTTAATGCCCACCATCACTCTATGCCCTACCTCTCCCCAACATATAGGATTCCGACACCTCCTCCGATATAAGAGCTCAAAGGGAGGCATACTGATACTAGAATGACGATTGCTGTTATATGAAAACTCACACTACTAGAAAAAGGCCTTTTACGACGCTCATTGCGCGTCGTAAAACGCTCAGACGACGCGCAAATGCACGTCAAGGAAGGCCCTGTCATAAAGAGAGACGACGCGCTTTTGCGCGTCGTCTACAGACGACGCGCATTTACGACGCACATTTACGATGCGCATTTACGACGCGCGTTTACGACACGCAATGCGTATCAAGGAAGGCCCTGTCATAAAGGAAGATGACACGCATTCGCATGTCGTAACCTTACGACGCGCGTGTTAATGGCACGCAATGTGTATCAAGAAAGCCCCTGTCAAGAAAGGCCATGTCATAAATGAAGATGACACACATTTTTGCGTATCATAATTTTAAATGTTTAAAAAAAATATTTTTAATAGATTTACTAATTTTCAAATTAAATTTAAATTTAATGCCTCATAATAGAAAATAAAATATCATTAACAAAAAATATAATCCATTTCATAAAATTTAATGTCATATACAAATAATCATTCCAATAGTAAGTAAATGTAACACATTGCTAATATTGCATAATATTTATTATTGAAAACAAAACATGTACAACATTAAAAGAAACCCTTGAATAAATTCTCCTTTGACAATCACCTTTGACAATTTTCTTTCTAAAAGAATAACCTGAATGCAAGAACTTTGAGAGGCTGCAAGGCACTAATATGTCAAATTTGTTTGTCTGCATGTTTTCAGCCAAATATAGGAAATTTCAGGAGTATGTATACATGTCATTTACATATATATATATATATATATATATATATATATATATATATATATATATATATATATATATATGACATAACATAAAGCATACATTGACATAACATAACTAATTCCAAACAATTCAAACATGACAAAGGGAAAACAAAGGTGGCATACCTGATGCATTCACCCTCATCTTACAAGAAACCCTGCATTTGCTTCAATTTGCCAATTTCACGTTTCAGGTATCGATTTAAAGAATTGGTGGGATCGCAAGCATGACGTACCGGAGGGCGTTTCTGTCGGCGATCGATACGCAATCGTACCCCGTTTGGGATCGAGCCGTTTGGAACGTGGATCGTGACTACTTTGGCGAATCCTGTGACTATGGTCCCCAACTCCTCCACGACTCCATGGAACATTTACACAATACCCTTCTCCACCCATGGACCCCACCTGATAACATATATAAGAGTGAAATGACCATTTTACCCTTCTCGATGTAAAAAATGAGAGAGAAAAAAAATTAGGGTTATGTTTACCTCATGGGCAACGCCTGTACCAGGGTAGAATTTTCCACCTTCATGTCTATGTAAGGATATATACAACACCTATAACAATTAAAACCAGTATCATCAGAAATAGTCAGATAGTAATCTACAATGTTATTTATGATTTAAAATAAATTAATCAACTATATTGTTTTATATTTATGTTGAGTTTCATTTTTTTTATAGGAGAATGAATGATAGTTAATTTTACATGGCCTCCTGCAATTTATTACCAGGAAACACTTATAGTGTTTATGTTTTTTTTAAATATCACAAACTCTTTGTGGTTAACCAAGAAAAAAATTATTTCTGTGGTTAAACCAAAAAAAATACAGAATATGGAGTTAACCATATAATAATAATATCATTAACAAGTTGAAGAAAGTAGTATCAATTATTGCACGAATAAAAAAAATAAAAATAAAATTACTGTTTTGTTCTGCTCAAATATTTCTTGAGTTCCATTTCCATGGTGTACATCCTGTAAATAAATAAGGTTAGATAACTACAACTCATAGTTTTTTTTTTTAATTACAAAGATTATTACCCAATCAACAATCAAGACTTTTTTTGCTCCTGCAGCTTGTGCTGCTGATGCAGCAATGGCTGCATTGTTATGCAGACAAAATCCCATTGCTTGTCTCACTCCAGCATGATGACCTGGAGGACGCACCTGACCCATGACCCATGACCCACGACCCATGATCCATCAAACATAAAGATTAATGTACCTAGCAAATAACTGTTCTCTAATATTACAAATTTTATAAAATTTTAATTTGCAAAACTAAAAGATTAAACATAAAAGCTCATTAGAATCCAAATAACTGTTCTCTAATATTACAAATTTTATAAATAAAAATGGGTTATATTGCAAATTTTCATTCCATTCCTTCAAAATGAGAATTTACAAAAGAGAAGGAATCACACACACCTGCAGTTGCCAGGCTGGCAGCAATTGCTCGAAGACGATCTGGTCTTTCTGGATGAGGAAGAGACTTCCTTTCAACCTACAAATTATAAAGATCAAAAAATGATGACATCAAAGTTTTTTATTTATAAAACCATCAAGACTATTAAAAATAATTTTTTTAAAAAAATGAAAATTGAAATATCGGGAAGAATTCTTACTTCAGAATGAAGCAACATCCTGTCATCCAAATTAACAAAAGTAAAGGTCATATAAAACTATGTTAAAAAACATTTGATGTATAAAAACTAAAAAGAAACTTTTGCAAGGTCTTACAAAATTCTTCATTTGAAGATGACACTAACAAAATACTACCAAAAAATCATATCCAAAAACCACAAAAGAACATGCTTCATACCATCCTCAGTCAAACAAACTAAATCCCATATCCTGCAAAAAAATATGAAAAAAAAAGATAGTCAAAAACATGCAACCATAAAAAAACAGTTTAAAAACAAACAATGAAGATCAATGGATATAAAAGAGCTTACATCATCGGACTCTTCTTTCTCTACAACTTTCTCCTCTTTCTTTAGCTCAGCTGCAGCAGCTGCAGCGGGAGCAGCACCACTACCACCTGTGGCGGCAACTGCAACACCACCACCGCCACCTGAAGGAACAGAAGCCAACTTCTCCCTTCCAGATGCAATCAATTCGGTGATATCTTTACCCTTAACCTCCGACAAGAGTAATTCAATTCTATCTTCATCAGCATCAGCTCCAACTGCATTAGTGAATATGATCATTATAATTGCCATTAAGCAAATCATACAGTTTATGAAGTTCAGGGTTTACATGGATGCAACATGGCACCTTAATTAGTGAGGACTGTTGGAACAGGTCCCAACCTTCTCACTCACACAACACAGATATATATGTATGCAGAAAGCAAATATAGAGATATGAAAGTACTTTGGACTCAAAGCTGCTGCACACTGACTTCTCATATTCAGAAAACAAAGGCTATATATATAGCCTGTAGTACATATCCAATGGAAACAAACTAAAACAGTCTACAAGGTTCTTATCTCTTGATCTTGCTAAACTTACTATTTTCTTCCTTGATTCGAACTTTCTTGTTTGGTCACTTCGAATCTTATTACTTGCTATTCAAACCACTTAGGTTTGATCTTGCTATCTTGCTTCAATCTTCCTCTATCTTGCTTAGACTCTTGCTGTACCTTGCTTCAATTTTCTTTCCTTCTCGATCAAAAGTGATCGCTTGCTGCTTCTTTCTTCTTTCTTGCCTGCTAGCATGTCACACAGTTGTGTTGTTTTTTTCTTCTTCTTCTTCTTTCTTTGATCACAAAGACCTAGCACCACCGAGTCCTTTTTCCTGCTTCACTCTCTACAATGAATCTATCTCTCGGCAATGGAGGTGATCGGCTCCAACAATGATCGACCTCTTCTCTCTTGTCTCTCTTCTTTCTTTTTCTACTTTCTTCATTCTTTTTCTTCATGTCTTTTCTCTTTCTTCTTTCTTCTTTCTACTTTCTTCATTCTTCTTTCTTCTTGTCTTTCTTTCTTTCTTCTGATTGTTGCCAATCAAACATTCTTTCTCTTGCCGACCTGCTGCTGCTTCTACTGCTCTTGTTGCCCTGCAGCCAAAAGATCCTCCCTCCAAAAGATCCTCCCAAAATCATCAATCACAATTACAGAAGTTACAGTTAGATATTCCACAAAGTCCAAATCTAGAAAATGAAGATGCTCACATAAAGCCCAATCACGATGGATCAATGATTTCAAAAACGAAATGACAGATTAAGGGTGAATCGAATTGTAAAAATTATCTATTTCTAAGCGAGCATCCGAGTGTAATTAAGATCTAAGCCGCATCACAACAAATCAAATATTCAAATTAACGAAACTTACGAGAGATTGGAATTGTCCGTACAGTTTTGTTCCAGTGGCGGATGAGGCATTTTATCAAACATGTTGCGTGCATCATCGATTCTTCCCCATTTACTGTATAAGTCGATTTCTCGATTTCTATTTCTCTTTCTCCCATTCCAGTCTCTGACTTTCTGTTGCTGTGATTTGAGTAGTGCCACCACTCCTCCGAAGCCTCTAAGTTTTCTCGGTCTAGGTCACCAGACCTAATGTTGCTGGCAAGGGCAGGCGAGGTGAGATTGCCAGAGATGAGGGGCTCCATCGGCTGGGTGACACTGGAAAGCGTTGGATGGTGGGGCAGGGCTAGACGGAGGTCAGAGGTGGGAGGCGCCAATACCAAGAGAAACATCGGAGGTGGGAGAAGCTGTCGACGTCAAGAACCGAGAAGAAGAGAAAGGGTTTGTTGAAGTGAGAAGGAGAGAAAGGGAAGTTGAAGAGAGAATGAGCAGTACAGGAGGGCATAATCGGGGCAAGTTCTTGAAAAAAAAGCCCTAGCTACTAGGGAAATTAAAGTGGAGGGAGAAAAAAAAAGGAAGGCGGGGATTTTAAGTTTTTGGGATTTCATTTTCCCCGGATGGAACGCGCGCGTTCTATTAAAATTTATAAAGCGACGGTCGTAGACGACACGCAGGTGCCCTCCGTGTTTTTATTTTATTTTTTGTTTAGACACTAATTTTAGGGCACGCAAAAATGCGCGTTTGAAATCCTTTAAATTTTGGAAGAGATGACATTATTTTTTAGACACTCACCTTTGCGTATCATAAATCACTGCGTGTCATGGTTCGCGCGTCATAAAAGGCTATATTTCTAGTAGTGTCAGCCAAGGGAAAGTAAGTGTTCCAACTTCCACCGAAGTCCATAACACATGCATGTAGCATATCTTTGAGTGTCTGAATCGTCTGCTCGCTCTGCCCATCTGTTTGTGGGTGATATGATATACTGAAGTGTAACCAAGTACCCAGCTCCTCATGAAATATCTTCCAGAACCTGGAAGTAAAACACACATCTCGATCTGACACTATCGATGTCGGCACCCCATGTCATGTCACCACCTCTCGAACATAGATCTCGGCCAACTTCTGCGTAGAAGAGCTCTCACTGATAGCTAGAAAGTGAGCACTCTTTGTTAACCTATCTACAATCACCCATATTCCATCAATAGCTTGTGCGGTCCTTGGTAATTTGATGATGAAATCCATGGAAATCTGTTCCCACTTACAGTGGGGAATCTCTAAAGGCTGCAATGGGCCATGTAGACACTGGTGCTCCGCCTTGACCTGACGACAGGTTAAGCATCTCTTGACTATCGATGCCACATCTCTCTTCATGCATGGCCACCACTAATCCCTTTTCGAGTCCAAATACATCTTGGTGGATCCCAGATGGATCAAGAATATCGACCTATGGGCCTACTCCATCAAAATACGCCAAGCTCCACCCATATATGGCACCCATATCCGCCCACAGAAGGTCATAAGCCCCTGACTATCCGTCCCAAACTCAGAAATCTACCCAATCACCCGCTCTCTCTTATGGTTCTCTGGCCTCACGACCACCACCTAGGCCTCTCGGATGGTATCTAAGACTAGATTAATCACCGAAATCTCCATGCACACGTCTCGGATCGTAGAACTCACTGATTTGTGACTTAAGCATCGGCTACCACATTAGCCCTGCCAGGGTGATACAAAATCTCACAATCATGGTCTTTCATTACATCCAACCACCTCCTATGTATAATATTAAGGTTGGGTTGATCCATAAGCTACTTCAGTCTCTTATGGTCTGTGTATATGGTACACCGAACATTATAAAGGTAGTGGCGCCAAACCATGACGGCGAACACCACCGCCCCCAACTCAAAATCGTAGGTGGGAACCTCGTCTCGTGAGACTTCAACTTCCTCACTGATTTGCGACTCGGGGCATTGGCTACCACATTAGCCTTTCCAGGGTGATACAAAATCTCACAGTCGTAGTCTTTCATTACATCCAACCACTTCCTCTGTATCATATTCAAGTTGGGTTGATCCATAAGGTTATTCAGGCTCTTATGGTCCGTGTATATGGTACAGTAGACACTATAAAGGTAGTGGCACAAAACCTTGAGGGCGAACACCACCGCCCCCAACTCAAAATCGTAGGTAGGATACCTCATCTTGTGAGACTTCAACTTCCTCGATGCATATGTTATCACGTGTCCCCTCTGCATGAACACAACACCCATCCTTGATATAGATTCATCACAGTAAACTACGAAGTCCTCCACTCGATTGGGAAGGGCTAACACTGGAGCTTCGCACAATCTCTGGTGAAAAGTTTCAAATGAGTCAGGCTGCTCGGGCCCCTAAGAAAAACTGACACACTTCCTGGTTAATCCGGTAAGAGGAACGACAATCTTGGAGAAATCCCTGATAAATAGTAGCCTGCCAGGCCAAGAAAACTCCTGATCTCAGATGGAGACCTCAACACCTCCCATCCCATAACTGCCTCAATCTTGGCCGGGTCGACCAAAATCCCATTCTGGTTAACGAGGTGTCCTAAGAACCGGACCTCTCGTAATCAGAAATCACACATGAAGAATTTGGCTTAAAGTCTTTCCATCCTCAATACTCGAAGAATCTCCTGAAGATGCTCCTCGTTCTGCTCTATAGTCCTCGAGTTACCAAAATGTCATCAATGAACATGATCACCGACCTGTCAAACATAGCCACACACACCCGGTTCATGAGATCCATGAACACTGCTGGTGCGCTGGTGAGTCAGAAAGGCATCACCACAAACTCGTAGTGCCCATAACGAGTCATAAGTGCCGTTTTCTGGATATCCTCCTCGCAAACTCTCATATGATGATACCCATATCTCAAATCAATCTTCGAAAACCAAGATTCCCCGTGCAACTGATCGAATAAATCGTCGATTCTCGGTAGTGGTTAAGGGTTCTTGATCGTCAGCTAGTTCAACTCTCGATAGTCGATGCACATTCAATGTGAGCCATCCATTTTCTTGACAAAAAGGATCGGTGCTCCCTACAGTGAGCTACTCGGTCTAATAAAACCCTTCCCCAGCAGTTCCTGGAGTTGTGAGGATAACTCCTGCATCTTGGGTGGCGCAAGACGATAAGGTGCCTTGGCAATAGGCGCCACACCTGGAATCAAATCGATCCGGAACACCACCTGCCTGTCAAGAGGCACACCCGACAATTCCTCATGGAATACATCCGGGAACTCACACACTACCAGAACATCGGAGATAGAACTCGGCCTCTCAGTGGCAACTCTGGTATCAATCACATACGCTAAAAAGCCTATGCCCCCTGTTGTAAACTCTGTCTCGCTGTGGCGACATAATAGAAAGTTGATCTAGATCTCGTCCCCTCGCCATATGCAGTAAGTACTCCCCCACTAGGGTCTTGTATAGTCACCATTTGACACTCACAGTCAATCAAAGCTCCAAACAAGCTCAACCAATCCATGCCCACTATGACACAACATCACCCATCGCTATCGGCACCAGGTCTATCGGGAACTTAACACCAAAAATCTCTAATACACATCCGTGAAATACATCAGTGGCAAAAACTGGATGTTCCCGTCTATAGAAACCCTCAGTGGTCGACTTAACGCCTTGCGTCTAACCCTAATGTGACGACTAAATGATAAGGACACGAAAGATCGACTCACACCCGAGTCAAATAACACCAAAGCAGGAACATAACTTACAAGAAAAGTACATATATATATATATATATATATATATATATATAATACACAATATTAGCATAAACAAATCTCAAAATAACATAAGTAAGGAGATACGTACCAGCAACAACGTCAGGTGCTACGCGGACCTCCTCCGCAGTCAACTTAAAATCTCTCTCACACGCCCTTGGAGCCTTGACCTTCATTGGCCGACCATCAGTAACGTGCAAAACAGTAGGAGTAAAATTTTGGGCTGATCACTGAATGAGTTGAGGACATTCGGCCTTTCGATCGAAGATATGGTTGCAATGAAAGCAAACCGCAAATGCCTTGGGGCTGTCCTTCGCCATATGCCCCTCCTTGCCACATTTGTAGCAAATCACCGATCGGCAAGATCCTGCATGACTCTTGTCTCACTAGCCACAAGTGTGGCCCTTCTGGCCCTCTACTCGCGTATCAACGGGCTTAGCCTGCTTGGTCGTCGGTTGTGACTATACTAGTCTCCTGTCTCTACCTTGAGACTCCTCCTCCTTTCTAGTATGAAGCTCTACCTCAATCTCCTTCCTCCTGGCATTGGTCTGTAGCTCAGCCAATGTTTGATACGAAGAATTCGCCATGAACTCTTGAATATCTCGCCTCAGTATGCTCAAGTATCGGCTCATACGTGCCTGCTCAGTGGACACGTGCTCAGGGCAGAATAGCACCCTCTCTCGAAACATCCTTGTAATCTCTATCACTGACTATGTCTTCTCTTGAGAGACATAAACTCTTGTGTCAAACGTTCCCTCTCCACCTGGGGAACATACTCATCTCTGAATAACTTGGTTAAGCTCTCCCAAGTCATTGCAACATGATCTGCAGGGATAAATACAATCATCACAAACTTCCACCAGTCCTTCGCTCCCAAGCGAAGCTGCTTCAACGCGAATCGAACTCTCAAATGCTTCGAAGATGAATACATATAGAAACACCCCTTAGTGTCTAAGATCCATATCATGGTAGCAATCGGGTCATGGGACCGATCGAACTCGGGTGGCTTCGTGTTGCTGAACTCCCGAAGTAATAACGAATCACTCCCCTGAGGCCTTGCAGTAGCAGAAGCCTCTGGTGACAGCAGTGTATCGCTCATCAAAAGTCTCAATAAGTGTGGTCTTAACAGACCCGCACATCTTTGTTATGGTCTCTCTGATAGCTGCAGCTACCTCCTCATGAAGGATCCTGCGAATCTCCTCATCACTAGTATCACTGCTCCCAGGGTTGTTGCGGGTAATCACCATAATGTCTCTGAAACACAAACACAAAATCATCAGAGAGTAGCTCAAACACTCACATGCTCAATTACCCACCCCTACATGCTCCTTAGCATCCTAAGGTTATTACTTGGGTCACATACAGATCTGGTGCTTTCAATAATATTCGTCCAATACTACCTTCCACACCAACTTGTAGTCCTCCCAAGTCCTCCTCCTAGGATCCTAATTAATAGTACTCTATCCCTCATGGATATCAAACTACTCTCTCAGTAGATTCCTCATTTCTCATCTAGGTATCTCTCCTAGATTACTCCGAGCTCTTTCTAAAAGATTTATGCTATGTTTGTCCCTACTCAGTAAGACAAGAGCATATAGCAGATAAAATCAATTGATAAC